CTTCCGACGTTTGATTTCTTTTTAAAAAATGCGTTTCTAAAGTGTATAAGCATTTGGGATTGACTGTATAGCCAATACATCCTTAAACCATTGTCTGCTGTGGATCGTGTTTGACGGAGAACATTTCAAATAACGACGAGGAAGACTTACTAGGTTCGGTGGACCGGCCGCAGGGTACCCAGCATCCAGTTTCAGGATCCATTTTATCGACTTGATAGTACTCGATCGGGGTGCCGCCGTCGTCTTTCGGCCTCTTCCATTTCAGCTTGCATCCCTCCTTGTGAACGTCTGTGACTTGAAGCGGACCTTCCGGTGGCATTGGTTTGTCGGTGACTGTGACCATCACGGTGACAGAGTCTCTTCCCGACGAGTTGGTCGCCGTAACAGTGTAGTCGCCGCTGTCGTCGCGAGACACGGGTCTGATACTGAACTTGGTGCTGTATTCGGTATTGTCGATTTGCACTTTTCGATCCGAATGCAGAGGGATTGCGCCGTATCGCCAATCGATGTGTGGCGGCGGTTCACCAATCACGTTAGCATCGAATCTTAATAACGAGCCAGCCGACAGCGTGACATCCCGCAGATTGCGCCGATCGATCTTGGGTGCCACTGAAACGAATCAAATTTATACGTACAATCAATCCTTGACGTGCCGAAATCAAATTCTGACTAGAATTATTTATAGCTACGAGGGGTGGTCTTTGGTGCGTAAAGCCTATCGGTTATGCGTGCTACTTGTACATTTGCTTTTTTCGTCTCAGGGATAAGACGCTATTAGGACGATAAAGAGATGATCGGTGCCAGTTGGCAAGCGACTTACGGGATACCCGATACTCCTACAATGACGATGCATCGAAGCGATGATCAGTAGACGCGTGTATAAAATGAGATTCTCAAAATTATTCGCGCGTCGTCAGTCGTTACTGTTCTTTCGCGCAAATGAAATTAAATGCGAATTGAAGAGACTTACGGAAACGAGGCTTGGCGGTGAACGTTTTGCTCATGTCACCGGGCTCCGACTGTCCGGCTTTGTTCACGGCTATCACCCGGAACACATAGTCGTTGCCTTCGATCAGACCATGGACCAGGCCTCTCGTGGTCGGAGTTTCGATTTCCAAAGCTTTTTCCCACATTGTGCTGTACTTGTCTTTCTTCTCGATTATGTATCCGGTGATGGGCGATCCACCGTCGCTGACAGGCTCTTTCCAGTTGAGCTCGACTTGGTTCGCGGTCCAGTCCACTGGTTCCGGTGCTCCCGGTGGACTCGGTACGGCTAAACGAAAATTCGTGCATAAATTTCGTTAATGCAACGCAGCGCATTCGTGAATAATTTGATCGATACGTCGTCGTCATTCATAAAAGTATACGTTTGTGACAATTCGTTTCTTGTTACCTATATAATACTATACTTACTGAACGGATCTTTGGCCACGATCGAGCTGTACGTTTCCAGAGGCTCCGACTCTCCTTCTTTGTTAAGCGCCTTCACTCTGAACTTGTATTCGTGTCCAGGTGTCAGTCCTTCCACCTTCATTTCCGGTCCCGTCGATTTGCCCACTGGCAGCCAGACCCCAGTGTCCGGGTCGAACTTCTCCACGAGGTATCCTTCGATGGGCTCTCCACCATCGTCTTTCGGTTTCTTCCATTTCAGCGTACATCCCTCCGCGTGGATATCGGACACCTCGAGAGGTCCTTCAGGCTTTCCAGGCTTAGCTGCGAAAAGATTTTCAAGTATTCAGTCGGAACGGTCGGTAATTGAAATTCGAACATGTATTTCCGATGGGAGATACGATACTTACAGACGACGGTGACTTCGACCTCGGCCGTGTCAGATCCATGCTGGTTCACGGCCGTAATTTTGTAAATGCCACTGTCTTTCCTCTCGGGCTTGTCATTGAAGAACTTGCTGTTGTACGGCACGTTCTGAATTCTACGGAACGTGGTCTGCTGCACGCTCTTGTTGTTGAGCAGCCACGTAACATCCGGTGGAGGTTCCCCGATGATTTTGACATCAAAGTGGAACGCTTCGTTCTCGCGTACCGTGATATTGCGCAAGTTCTTCCTGTCGATCTTCGGTGCGACTGTAAAACGAATATGAACAATTTCTTTTTATCCTCTGAAAATACGTAACGACTCCGTTTGTGAGGACAAAATCTGCTTACGTCGTCGGCTCTTGGCCGTGATCGGCTTGCTGGTGTCCGATGGTTCGCCAGGGCCAGCAGCGTTAACCGCCTTGACTCGGAACTCGTATTCGACGCCCTCGTCGAGGTTGTCCACGCGTCCCTTGCACTCGGGACCGGTTTCGCAAGCCTTCATCCATCGGGGACTGTCTTTTTCGCGCTTCTCGATTATGTATCCAGTGATCGGAGATCCACCATCGGTCAAGGGTGGAGTCCATCGCAGGTCTATATGATCCTTGTCCCAGTCGGTCGCCTCTGGTCGACCCGGTGCTCCTGGCTCGTCTGCGAAAGGAATACTCGGTCTCGATTATCCTGTATAGGTACACGATACGAAACGAAAAAATATCGTAGGAAACGATCGTAACGATAACGTAAAAATTGAATTAGAATGCTGACCGAATGGATTCTTGGCTACGATTCCGTGGTCCGTTTCGAGGGGTTCCGACTCTCCCTCCGCGTTCACAGCGGCGACTCGGAACTTGTACTCCTGGCCGGGGACCAGATTCTCCACGACCATCGTCGGTTCCTTGCTGCGTCCCACGGGGATCCATCTTCCCGTTTCCGTGTCCATTTTCTCGACCACGTAATGATCCAACGGTACGCCGCCGTCGTCGGCCGGAGGATTCCACTTGAGCGTACATCCCTCTTTGTGAACGTCGGACACTTTCAAAGGTCCTTCCGGCTTGCTCGGCTTGTCCAAGACTAGAATCTGGACAGAAGCCTCGTCCTTCCCGGAGCTGTTCTCAGCTTTCAACGTCAGAGTGCCGCAGTGAGCTCTGCTGGCGGACGACACCAGGAATTTGGTCCTGTAGTCCTCCAATTCGATGCTCAACACGCCGCCGTCTTCCTGCTTGGCTTTGTTCAAGTACCAAGTCTTGGTTGGTGGCGGTTCACCGGACACTTTCACGTCCAACCGGATGTGAGTGCCAGCTTTGATCGTCAGATCCTTCAAGTTAGTGCGGTCGATCTTAGGCGCTGCGTATCGATCCTTCGCTACCATGCTGTCGCTGGGCTCGCTAGGTTTGCTCTGTCCACCTTTGTTCACGGCTTTCACGCGGAACTGGTACTTCTGACCTTCTATCAGATCTTCGACTCTAGCGTCGGTTCTGTTTCCTGGAACCTCGGCCGCCTTTTGCCACTTTCCGTATTGATCCTTCTTCTCGATTATGTATTTCTCGATCGGTGCACCGCCGTCTTTCTTTGGTGCTTTCCATTTGAGATCCGCATGGTGTTTCGACCAATCTTTGATGTCCGGTTTCCCAGGCGCGTCCGGTTCGGCTGTAAATTTCAATTAACGAATGTTAACGTCGTTGGATTGACGGAAAATTATTTGTGATCGCTTACTGTATGGATTCTTGGCCGTGGTGGGAATCGCCGTTTCCAGCGGTTCGGATTCACCCTCGGAATTGACAGCCTTCACTCGGAACATATAATCCTTGCCCTCGTTGAGTCCGGTAACGTCGGCTTCGGGAGTTTTGCTCGTGGCGCAAGGCACCCATCTTCCGGTGTCCACGTCCATCCTCTCGATCACGTAATGATCCACGGGTTCACCGCCGTCCTCGTCAGGTTTCTCCCATTTCAATTTGCACCCTTCCGCTGTCACGTCGGATACTTCCAGAGGTCCCTTCGGTTTGCCGGGTTTGCTCAGAACCTAACGCCGAACGAAGTATTTTTATCTTTCCGTTTACGAACGACGTCTTACCGGACAGAGGATCCAAACGTTTTACCTGAATTTCAATGTCGACCTGATCGGTGCCGCTGTCGTTCTTAGCGATGACCGTGTAGGTACCCGTGTCCGATCGCTGCAATTTGCTCATGATGAACGTGGTGTGATAATCTTCGTTCTCGATCTTGAGACGATCCATGCTCTTCAGCACCGCGTCTCCGAGTTTCCAAGTGACGAGTGGAGGCGGTTCACCTTGTATATCTGCCTCGATTCGTAGCAGTTGACCCACTCTCATCACCTTCTTCTGCAGATTCTTGCGATCGATGCGTGGGGCCACTATAAATGAACATTTTATTACGTACAACATCGTTTATTGTATTTGACGCGTTGCTTCGTGCACGAAGTGATGACGAGCGAAGTACTTACGGAACCTCGGTTTGGCCACGACACTTTTAGAAGTGTCGCTGGGTTCACTGGGCCCAGCTCTGTTAACGGCCACAACTCTGAACTCGTATTCGTGCCCTGGCTCGATACCATCGGTCACTTTGGCAGCGGTGCGATCGCCCAGAACCTTCGCCACGTCTATCCACTGCCGCGTTTCCTTGTCCCGCATCTGTACGATGTACTTTTCGATCGGAGCACCGCCGTCGTCCTTCGGCGGCGTCCATTCGAGGTCGACGAAATCTTTGTCCCAGTTCTTAATTTCCGGGCGACCTGGTTTTCCAGGTTCGTCGAACGGATTCTTGGCGATGATGGATTTGTCCGTTTCCAACTCGTCGGACTCGCCTTCCCGGTTCACAGCTTTTACGCGGAACTTGTAAGGTTTCCCTTCCTGAAGCCCAGTTATCGTGCACTCCGGTTCTGCCGATTTCGCGCAAGGGATCCATTGTCCTGTTAAAGGATCAAGCTTCTCGATCTCGTAGTACTCCACCGGCACACCGCCGTCGTCGTCGGGTTTCTCCCATTTCAACTTGCATCCGTGCTTGTTCACATCGGACACCTCCAACGGACCCTGTAAAATCCAGAACGATTTAGCAATGAAATTGTTATTTTGTCGTTTGATGCGCAAACGAAACGATTCGATACCTTTGGTTTGCTGGGTTTACCAATCACAGTTATCTCGACATCGGCCGAGTCCTCACCCACTTCGTTCTTCGCTTTGATTGTGTACTTGCCGGTGTGAGCTCGCTTCGTCTTCAGTATAAAGAATTTAGTATTGTAATCGATGTTGTCGATTCTTATGGTGTCGTCCGACGTGAGCTCCTTGCCGTCAAAGAACCAGGTCACGGTTGGTGGCGGTTCTCCGATGATGTTCACGTCCAGAGTCACGGTTAGACCGACCTTCACCGTCGTCAGTTGCAAGTTGGTGCGGTCGATGAAAGGTTTCACTGCGACAAAGCGAATCTCAGGTATAGAAGTGTCGATGCATGAATTGAGCGACGTAAAAGTGCTGAAATTGAAATTAGTCTACTCACGCCATCGAGCCTTGGCAGTGTGAGGATTCGTAGCCTCGCTCGGTTCACCGGGACCAGCTTTGTTCACCGCTCTGACCCTGAACTGATACTGATTTCCCTCCTCCAGTCGTGTCACGGTTCCCGTGCAAGCTGGTCCGCTGGTTTCGGCAGCTTTCACGTAGGTGGTTCCGAATTTGTCCTTCATCTCGATTATGTATCCAGTGATCTTCGCTCCGCCGTCTCGAATCGGTGGTTCCCACTTCAATTTCACCATGTTCTCGGCCCAGTCGATGATCTCCGGCAGGCCGGGCGCGCCAGGTACATCTGATCGAAACGTAACGGCGACGTACAGATGTTGCACAATGGTTCATCTCTCGGATAGAAATCTGGCAGATACTTACCGTAAGGATTTTTAGCAGTGATGGCAGTGTCGGTTTGGAGCGGTTCCGATTCTCCCTCCTCGTTCACAGCTTTCACGCGGAATTCATACTTATGGTTGGGTTCTAAACCGGTGATGGTGTGCTCGGTCTTGTCCGGATCGACGATACCAGCCGGCACCCATCGTCCCGTGGTCGCGTCCATTTTTTCTATGACATAACTAGACAGAGGCAAGCCTCCGTCGTCTCTCGGCTTGTTCCATTTCAATTTGCATCCCTCTTTGTGGACGTCGGTCACTTCCAAAGGTCCTTCCGGTTTCCCAGGCTTGTCCAAGATGTTTATCTCGACGTCGGCCTCGTCCTGTCCGGAATCGTTCACAGCTTTGATGGTGTACTTGCCGCTCAGTTTGCGACTGGTGTTCGTCAGATGAATCTTCGTCAGATAGTCCTCATTGTCGATCCTTACGTTGGCTCCGGTTTGAAGCTCGGAGCCACCGAAGCTCCACGTGACCGTTGGTGGTGGTTCTCCCTCGATGTCCACTTCCAGTTTCACCATCTGACCTGCTCGCACCTTGATCGGTTGCAACTTCTCGCGATTGATGCGTGGTTTCACTGTAACGAAAATTCCATGAGCCGATCGATCGAATTTCAAATCGAGAGCTAGATTCGATTGAACGCGCGTTAGACGCCGTTATGTACTTACGATGCCGAGCTTTGGCAACGTGCGGTTTGGTCGGATCGCTGGCCTCCGACGGCCCGGCCTTGTTCACGGCACGAACACGGAACTGATAGATCGAACCCTTCTTCAATCCGGTGACACGCCCTTTCGGCTGCGGCGATTCGGTCGTGACTACCTCCTGCCAGTTCGGCGACGGTTTCTCCTTCATTTCTATTATGTAACCCATGATCGGTACGCCTCCGGTGTCTTTCGGTGGCTCCCATTTCAAGTCCACTCGGTCAACGTCCCAGTCCTCGAACTCTGGTACACCGGGCTTGCTGGCCACGTCTGAGATCAGATTTTAAATTTATATTCCTGCGTTGTTCATTGATACACACAGAGGCCGACGCACTTTTCGCAGATAAACGCTTACCGTAAGGGTTCTTTGCGACGGTCGTGCCATCGGTGACCAATGGTTCGGATTCGCCCTCTTCGTTGATGGCCTTTACTCTAAACTCGTACTCGTGACCTTCCTGGAGGCCCTTTACGTCCATCTCGGTGTCGGAAGTGCGGCCAACCGGGATCCATCTTCCAGTGGCCTTGTCCAGCTTCTCCACTTGGTAGCCGGTGATAGGCTTGCCACCGTCGTCCTCGGGTTTGCCCCACTTCAGTTTGCATCCATTCTTGGTCACGTCGGACACCTTCAATGGCCCCTTCGGTTTCCCAGGAGCCGCTGTCGTCATCGCGATCAGTCAAGCGTTTTTAATATATTTTCACGACACGTTAGTTACGACATTTAGTGTAATTATGCTAGGAGCTTACAGAGTATGGTGATCTCGACTTCCGCCTCGTCTTCGCCGTGAGAGTTCACAGCTTTTATTTTCCACACCCCGGTATTCTTTCGCACGCAGTCGGTAATGTTCAATTTCGTGTTATAATCGACGTTGATTATTTCGATGTTCTCGCCACTTTGGACCTTCTGACCCGCGTGGAACCAAGTTATTTCCGGTGGTGGTTCGCCGCGAACGTCCACGTCGTATTTGATCGTTTTGCCAGCTCGTACGGTGATCGGTTTCAAATTCGTACGATCGATCCTTGGTTTCACTGAAGCATTCGATTCGATAAACATTTTTAATTTCATATAAGAATGAGAAGATACGAGAAAATTGAACGATGCTTACGTGCTCTGTGCTTGCATATTTGCATCTTGGATGCGTCTGACGGCGGTGAGGGTCCGGCCTTGTTGACGGCGATCACTCGGAATTGATACTCTCCGCGTTCCTTCAAGTCTGCTACCTTAGCTTCGAGCTGACTGCCGGGTACTTCCATCGCTTTCTCCCAATCCGGCTTGTAACGATCCTTCTTCTCGATGATGTATTTCTCGATCGGTGCACCACCGTCGAAATCGGGCGGTGTCCATTTCAAGCTCACTGACTCGTTATCGTAATCTGTTATCTCAGGTGTGCCGGGCTTGTGCGGTTCGTCTGCGTTTCACGAATTTATCATGATAAAACCGAAATTAAAAGAAACGGAAAATAAAAAGAAATCAGGGAATTCACGTTCGCATAGCGATCGAGGACTTACCATACGGGTTCTTGGCGATGATCGGGCGATCGCTCTCTAAAGGTTCTGAATCGCCTTCGTCATTGACGGCGGTCACCCTGAACTTGTATTCGCTACCAGGGTTCAGACCGGTAACTTCGAATTCCGTCAGCGGTGAATTGCCTGGAATTTTTCCTACCCTGACCCATTTACCGGTCTTTGTGTCCAATTTCTCGATCTCGTATTCTTTGATCGGAACGCCGCCATCGTCGTCTGGTTTCTCCCACTTCACCTTGGCCGAAGTCGCCGTAACGTCGGTCACCTCCAGCGGTCCTTTCGGCGAGTCCGGTTTTCCAAGCACTATAAGCTCGACGGTTTCCTCGTCCTTTCCATTGGCATTTTCAGCCACGAGAGTATACTTTCCGGTATCCTTACGCGTCGCGTTGATGATCGAGAAGTCTGTGTGATAATCGACATTTTCGATTTTTATGCGTTCCGTAGTGGTCAGGGGAATGTTGTCCCTCCAGATCCATTTTACTTCGGGTGGTGGCTCGCCGATAATGTCCACCGACCATTTGTGCGTACGTCCAGCCTTGATGGTCACGGACTTGAACGTGCTTCTGTCGATCCTCGGTTTCACTGCACAGCATTCGATTTGAACGTACGATTCGAGATCAGATGATAATTAAAAATATTTCGAAATACCCCTACGGTCGATAGATACGTACAGTTCTTGTGTTTGCAAAGATGATTGTCGGTAGGCTCGCTGGGTTGGCCAGGACCTGCCTTGTTATGAGCTCGAACGCGAAATTGGTAAACCATTTTTTCCTTGAGGCCCTCCACCTTCACTTCAGGGGTTGGGTCGGTGGTCTTGGCTACCTCGACCCAATCGGGGGAGAACTTGTCTTTCATTTCGACCGTGTAGTGGGTGATAGGTCTGCCACCGTCGGTCGACGGCTTCTCCCATTTCAGAGACACGCTCACGTTGTCGTAGTCAAAGATCTCTGGCTTGCCAGGTTTGCCGGGCTCGTCTGAGAACGGGAGAAGATAAGAAATTTTGCAAATGAAGCAGATAATAATGATTGTTTGAAGTAAATTTAAGCGGTACATCGATTGCTCGGTCATCGAGCATCTACGAATCGATGCGTCACCCAATCACGAACGATCATATCGTAAACGCGGCGGTCACAGACATTGAAATTGGTCTTACCGTAAGGATTCTTGGCGAGAATGGCCTCGTCCACTTCGAGTGGTTCGGATTCGCCTTCCTTATTGACAGCCTTCACGCGGAACTTGTACTTCTTTTTCGGCGTTAAACCAGAGAAGGTGAAGGTATCTTCGTTCGGTCCGACCTCTCCGGCCGGAATCCATCGTCCGGTGTCCATGTCCATCTTCTCTAAAACGTAGCCAGTAATGTCCGTACCGCCGTTGTCCTCCGGTTTCTCCCATTTCACTTTCACGTGATCGGAGCGCACTTCCTCCACCTTGAGCGGTCCTTTCGGCATCGAAGGTTTGTCTGAAAGATCAACGTGATTTAAACCTGAAACGCCGCGAATCATCTGTCCGCGGATTGTCAATTACCGAGGACGACGACGTCCGCGACGCTTTCGCAAGTCCCAGAGCTGTTCGTCAAGACTAGTTTGTATTTTCCCGAATCTGGCCTCGTCGTTTTTCTAACGGTGAGCACCGTATTCCTCTCGTATTTGTCGATCGTGATTCTCTCCGCAGAATCCTGGACCAGTTCCTTTTGACCAAGGAACCAGTGGACCTCCGGCTCGGGTTCACCGGCATACTTGATGTCGTATTTGATCACCTGACCCTTTTTCACGATCAGGTTCGTCAGACCGTCGCCGACGATGTACGGCTTGACAAATCTGCACTTGGCTATGATTGGCTTCGTTGCGTCCGAGGGTTCGCCCGGACCAGCTTTATTCACGGCTCGGATTCGGAATTCATATTGGGTTCCTTCCTTCAGACCGTCGATCGTGGCCTCCGTCACGTCTCCTTCTATCTCCTTTCCTTTCACCCATTCTTTACCGAATTTCTCTTTGTATTCTATCACGTAGCCCGTGATCGGTGCTCCGCCGTCGTTCTCCGGTTTGGTCCATTTAAGATCCGCATGATCCTTGTCCCAGTCGACCACTTCCACGTTCGTTGGTTTTCCCGGTTCGTCTGTCAAAGAACAGACAAGAACGATTCGACGATTGGTACAACGTAACGAAGGAATATCGTAATAAGATAAAGTTTGACATCGATTTACCCCACGGATCTTTGGCGAGTACCGGTTTCGCGAACATCGCAGGCTCGCTAGAACCAAGTTTGTTCACTGCCCTGATACGGAACTTGTACTCCTTCTTGGCGATGAGGTCCTGAACCTTGTAAACGGTTTTCTCGCCTGGCATCACCTCTCCCACGCTGTCCCATTGAGCTTTCAAGCTCATATCGAGACGTTCGATCACATATTTGACAATAGGTGATCCACCGTCATCCTTCGAAGGCTTGAACGAGACCACGCAAGAGTTTTGGAAGATCTCGGTAACATCGACGTCCTGCGGTGGCGATGGAACATCTAAACGTGGTAACAAAATTTTAATAACATGTTAATTATTTAAACGTAACCCGCGAGATTTTACCTTGCATGTTGATGTTCACGTCGTGAACCTCTTCGCCCTGATTGTTACCGATCTTCACTTGGTACATGCCGGATTGATCTCGGGACGGTTTCTTGATCTTGAACGTGATCTTGTCCTCGCCAACGACCACTTCCACGTCTTTCAACGGCAACGGCTTACCGTCTTTCATCAATTTGGCCTCCACTTGACTTTGCTTTGTACCTTCGACTGCGCTCCAAAACATAGTTTTAATACCCGTCGAAAATACTACGTCTCATGTTTAAAAAGAGATCGAACTTACTCTTGTAAGGAACGACGAAGACTAGCGGCGCGCTGCACGGGCCCTCGATTTTGTCGGGAATCTCGACTATGGGTTTGCTCTCGCCTTTCTTCACGGTCAGCTTGCAGGTGCTCGTCAATTGTCCGCTCTCACACGTGATCTCGCCATCGTCGCTCATCTCCAGTTTATTGAAGATCAATTGATGCTTGCCGCCTCCCAAGTTCTTGATCTCCACCCTCTCGTTCGCTTCGATCGGTTTCCCATTGAACAGCCACACGGCAGGTGCGGTTTGATCTTGGAGTTCCACGTCCAGCACCAACTTCTCTCTTTCCACGGCCACCGTGTCCTTCAGCTTTTTGTTGAACCGATTCGCATCTGAGGAACGAGACAATTTATTTATTTTTTTCATTCCCTTAATCGTGTCGATCGAAAGAGAAAAGGGAAGACCGCTCACAGTTTATCACTATCTCGGCTTCGGTCTTGTCTGCGTTGCTCACGCACGAGTATTGGCCAGCGTCCGTCACTTTCGTGTCTTTGATGATCAGCTTTCGCTTCCGACCATCTTCTTTGATCTGTACCCTGTGCATGGAATACACCGCGGAGTTTTACGACAATCTTTATATCTTTCATCTCGTTTTTTTCAATGAACCCTAAGTACTCTACTTATGAACGTGATTGGAGTATTACCTCTTGTCAGCAACGATCTCTTGGTCACCTTTGAACCATTTCACTTCGCCCGCGGCATCGTCCAATTCGCAGAGCAACGTCAACGTTTCCTTTTCGACCAGCTGCTGCGATTTCAGCACCTTCACGAACTTGTATGGATACTCTGCAGAAATTAACAGGATTTGCTTTTCGTCCGTTTTCAGTGATAATTAAAATTCTTTTTGAAAAGTGACCCACCGACTACGGTCAATGTGGTTTCGGTCTTGTCGGGTTGTTTGTTAAGTTTGCAGATATATTCGCCGCTGTCTTCGATCGTTGCGTTCTTTATAGTCAGTCTGCAAACACCGCTCATGTCCTTTGATATACTGTACGTATCGCCATCCTACGCAAAAAATTAGTCAACGTCGATCGTTCGTGAACAATTATTGTAACGTTGCAAGTGCATCGATTATTACCTCGAGCTTAGTTTTTCCTTTGTACCACGATACTTGAGCGAGATTCGAACTGACGGTGCACTCCATTAACACTTCGTGTTTCGTGTAACCGCTAGACTTCTTAGAAAGCGGTTTCGTGAAGGTATAAGTCGGATCCGGTTCTATAAAACAGAATTATAAATCTAGTGCCAATCATCTGTGGATTAGGCGTGCATGCATCCGTATTGAAGTGCTCACCTTCGACATTGAGGAAACCTGTGCTGGATACACCTGAAATTTCGATGGTGTACTTGCCGGTATCCTCGACCTTCGGATTCAATATGATCAGTTGATAGCAATCTTCCTCGTTTTTGAACTTATACTTGGACGAAGGGAATAATTCCTAAAAGAAATTATTAGACCGCACATTTTTATTCAAGTGGAACGTGTCGAACTGTTTTGTAAACGCATAGATCGATACAGCGATTAGATAGCCGCTGTATCATGTTGTTCATTACGTACATCTTTGCGGAAGAACCACTTGGGTTTGCAGTTCGGTTTCGAGAAGTTCGCCTCGAAGACGACCTTCTTGTCTTTGCCCTCCTTCGCGTGTTGATCCACCAGCGGTTTCAGGAAGCTTTCCGGTTTCTACGATACAACGAGAGCATTTGATTAAACCTGCAATTGAATCGTGCGGCCGACGATAACTTTGCGCTAGGCGTAATAATCGCAAATCGTGTCACAAAAAGATCGATCAGTCGCAAATCGATCGGTCTCGCCGTTGAAAAGGGCGAGAAAAAGCTCCTGCAAAAAGACTTTGTCCAAAAAATGAAAAATCGACCTGGACGAGGCGTGGAGGCCGTCATCTACTTGGCAAATTCGCAATCGAAAAAAGGTGATAAACGTTTGGGGTGGTGTCAAAAATCTTTGTCACAAAAAAGTCGAACGTTGCCGAAGAAAATGAAAAAAGCTCTCCGAGTCTAAATTCTACGAGAGTGTAAAGAAGACGCAAGGTAGATGGAAATGTGAAAAATAGAAGAATTAAATCGGAGAACCAATCGATAGATACAGAGAGAAAGACAGATAGATAGATAGATAGACAGACAGATAGATAGATAGAGAGAGATAGAGAGAGAGATAGAGAGAGAGACAGATAGATAGATAGATAAATAGATTGGACAGAGAGAGACAGTCGTTTAGAGTCTGGTTCTGGATACTTGATTCCTGAAGAAACACTCTACTGTGCAGAGTATAGGGAAGAAGACAGAGAGATCTCGTGAGAAGTAGTAGAAGTGAGACAGAGATAAAGGAAGATGAATGTAAAAGAAGTAGAGAACATCGATATCACGCTGGTCGTGTATATCGTAGGTGTTCGAGGAGTACGTATTCGATCCAACCTCCGTCTTGGTGAAATGGTGCAGGGTCGGCCAGTCGGGAATTAATTCGGCGAGAGAGGGTCTACGAGATCCACTATTCTATAAAACAACAAAAATCGTCTACGATCACATGTCTGAATCGACTACTCGGACATCTTTGTTCGTTGCAGCTGATATGCCAGGCAAAACGAAGCGTTTTTCATTTCCTTTAAGTATGTACATCCATAAAAGTACGCGTTAGTCGTATTAATGTCAGTCGGGTAACGGTTGAAAAGATCTGTGAAGGCGAGTTTCCTCCTCTGAAGAAGCGCAGGCCAAAGCAGGTTCACAAATTTCCTATTCCCTTTCCCGTTTATTTTGGATCGCGAGAGTTTCGAGGACACGGCAACCCAGCAAGCTAGAAAGTCTCGCGATCGTTTCGTCTCGAGAATTTATAAAAATATATATGTACGCAGTAGCGTTCGAAACTTTTGTCTTCTAACTAAAAGATCGTTTTTTAAGCTTTGCGGGGTGGATAGGCGTTCATTACTCTGTCCTTCGAAGCTTTTAACCCTTTGGGGGATGATACGAAACGCAATGGCACACGAGTAGATAAAACAAGTGCGAGAGGAAGAGTTAGCAAGAACGAAACACGAGCGTTCCTAAGGAAACTCGTAAACCGCGTTCCGTTCGCGAGCCCAAGGGATTAAATTCTCAACTAGCGCATCAATGAAATAGGTGTACATATGTCGCGAACCTTCTCTTTGACCCTCGTCACTAGCATCGGCCAGTCGGCGATTAGCTCCTGCAAACTTGGCCTGCGCTGAATGTCGAAGACGTCCTGCATGCCCGCCCCCGCACACACACCTTCACGTTAATCTCGCTCTTATACTTTCCTTATCCAATCTCGATTATGCGTGCGACGACCCTGATGATCGATCGTCAAGACTGCCCGTACGGGAAGTTTTATCCCCATCCCTTCTTCGTAAAAGTGAGTGATCGACATCGACATCGAAACACAAACGGTTTCGCGTATGCTCAGCAAGTGATTTCGATTCTCGCATCAGGGCCATCGAAGCATCCGATAAGAACGTCGAATCGCATTTAGAGATAATGCTTGCCGCTGGGTTACCCGTAAAATAATACTGCCACGTAAGCCGTGCTTCACATGCTTCTCGCGGTGGTGCTTTCTTACTCGTGACAAATCGTCGTCTCTACTCATGCACTTGTTAACGACTCGTTTCATCCTTTTTTTTTTTTATCTTCCTAGAAGAAGCGAATGTTCGGACCGTGTGCCATTAATACTTGGTTAATCAGTTAATGAAGATGAATCTACTATTACTTAATATGAATCTATTCGAAAGATACGATTGCCAAGCGCAGCATTAGCTCTAAACTAATGTGTGTATACGCGTACAGTTTTCGTCTTTTCTTCTCTTATTAACTGTGGTCAGTCGAAGTTCTTCGTCTCTGTCACGAACAGTGTGGTACAACGCGTGGTACATACGGGTTACTACAAAGTTTCTGCTTCCACAATTTTTTTTCATTCGCTCGATCTAATGAAACGTCTAGTTCCAGTGAAATATCAAATATCTGAGTTTTTGAAAATTGTAGAAAACAGAAGGGGGATATTAGGGTCCGTTCGTGGGTCTCGTCGTCGTCGGGAGATATCTAGGGGGATGGATGATGCCTGAGAAAACCTTGAGCCAGCTCCAGTTAGTTTCACCCTTCTTGTCTAGAGAAATTCGAAGGACCTCCTCACCGTCCGTCAAGACCACTATATCGTCGCCGTCTTGATACCAGCTGCTCCCGTGCATCTCGACGTCGCCTAGCGACTACGGAGACAAACGTGTAGAAAGAAGAAAGAGACGAACAAACAAGAACTAGTCGATTTCATCTTCGTTCAGGGAAATATTTCACTTTCCTCTTCTCACCTACTTACCGCGATATACGTCTGCGCGTATGCTTTTTGCTAATACGAATAGTGATATAAGCTCGGTCGTACGTATTTATCGTCGATACAAGCGTAATACATTGATCGAAATGCGTGAGGCATTCCTGTTTTACATCGAATACGAATAGTGAGATACGACAGAATTACAACGAACCATGCGTACCATCGTAGCCAAGCTTCCTCATACAAAAATAACAAATATCTGTGCCGTACGAACGATACAACTCGATCGAATTCTTCTTGGAAATTTATTATTACTAATGCGCGTCGAGCGCGTCACGTAGATACGCACCTTTTCTACTTTCTTCAAAGCCGGCATTGGTTTCTCGACTTCCTTCAAGTCTACCTTCTCTTGTTCTTGTTCCTCCCTCGCCCATTTCTGGTACTTCCTCTTCTTGAGCATCGCACGGAAGTCCATACCGCTGGCGTCTGTCGACAGAGATGTTAATTCGTAACGGAACGATCGTGAACTCGTTGCCAATTGTATAAACGATCGAGAACGAAATTTTCACGGTACCGGAAACGTATAGCTGCATCTCGGCAGAGTCTTCGCCATGGATGTTGCTGACGACGATCTTGTAAGTGCCCTCGTCGTTAGGCTTCGTCTTCCTCATACAGAGGGTGATCGTGTTGGTCTCCGTGTCCGTGAGGAACTTGAATCGGCCACCTTCGATGATCTCGGTGATTCCCTTGTAGAACTTGAACGTTGGCGCGGGCGTGCCCTCCACCCCGACTGTGAGGTACGCCGTCGAGTCTAAAGATAATAATTACGTGCGTGTTCGGAGTTATTCGAGTCGAGACAAAAATAAAAAAATCGATAGGAACCTTCGACCGCGGAATAGGATTCCTGGACGTCGACGATTTGAGGTGGTCCTGCTGGTCCGACATCTCGAAGAGGTGTGCTCGGTTGATTGATCTTATTCTCAAGGTCCGCCACGCTGGGTCTTCTGACGTCCGTGCTCGGACGACGACGCTAAACCAATCATTCATATCGTCAACGAACGTGTCACCCTTTTGTTACGTTCAAATTTGCTTATATGTACAATTTAATATCGAGCATCGTTAACAGCGACTCGACGATCGAGCGCGTGACTCGGTTCGACCTTCTTACCTGCTCCTCGTTGATTCCATTGGTTCGATCGTTATCGCGCCATGTCATAAATGGAAGACCGCAGATTTGATTACATCCTCCATAAAAATCTGCGGTCGAATAATACGTGATTGGCCTCGGTTTAGAGGAGAGTCAGCGCTCGACGTCGTTGCGATGTCGCCACGCGATAGCAGTGCGTGTGATCAATCGTGCAATTAGTCACGCGTGGGTTAATCGAACTCGGTAAAAAGCTAAATGTTAATCACGATGTTAAGTAAAACCGGAGCCATGAAACGAGGCCGATTGACGGCGGCGAGGTCCCTTGGCAAGCGTCCAGATCGATGGGACAGATGAGATTCTTCGTATGCAACAGGGTTCTACGTTTCTTGCGTACACAATAGGATAATACGTAGAGGCGACAGAGGTGTTCGGGTCGCATAGAAGGGAACGATTTTTGCTTAGTTTCGAGCACTCGGCGCTCGACCGCGTCACCAGTCGCTGAGATCAGTCACAGGGTTAACACTTAATGCTAGATCATCGTTTAGTTCGTATCGCGATTCGCTGCGAAACGATTAGGACAATTTCAGTTGTCGCGTCGATCAGCGATTCAACTTCTATTCAATGTTGCCAGGTTGAATCGTCGATTGACACGATTTCTTCGATGACAATCGAACAAACTTGTCGTCGTATTCGAAATTTATATTTACATCTAATGACGCTGAATTTCTGAATCGTTGTCACACTTTCATGTTAGATACAATTGTGATAAGGCGTTGGTTAATACACGTATGCTGTATGTAGAACATAGTTGAGGAAAACGATGATTTCGCGAGGGATCGGACGTAGTAGAGAGACAGAGAGAGAGACAGAGAGAGACACAGTTGACAATTTAAAAGTACGAACGAACGTGGACAGGAAGGAACGGAATTACCGATACAATTTTATCGCTAGTTACCATCGCGATTCTATCTGTTATTTACAAGAAGATACATCGATGATCGAGATAAAAAATAAAACGTACAGATCTATGAAACGTTTCTAACACGTGTCTATTCGTGAAAAATTAGAAGTACGTGGAAATTAAATTTGATACGTGTCGAGTCTCGAACAGGCCGTAGTCGTAGTTCCAATGTTACGAACAGCGCTCGAAGAGAGGCGACGTCTGACCAATGCAGGCATATATCACTGCGGCCCGTTCGACACCGAACTTCTACGGGCTACGATTTACATATGCACGCGGACAATGATGCAGACATAAATTTGTACAAAAAAAGAAACCAACATAAAGTTTTACATAGTTAGACACTAATTAAAATAAATACTTCTCACCACTGTCTATTCTATGATACACAGAGTATTCGCTCGAATTAAGCAAGATGCGCGTATCGGCCGCGGTACGTTTCGACCGATTGCCACGTAAATTGCGCTTGGTCCAGGTTCAATCGACCAAGATCGGAGTTCGTCGAATCGACGTTACGAACGATTTATTTCGCGGCCTATTTATAAAGTATAGATTGGCTGAGACCGAACGCAATAGAACTGACAAATTGGTCGTCGAGACGGCGGCGGCCGGGAGAACGTGCAAAGTAGATGATAATATATACATTGCGAACAATTCGAAGCATAAAAGTACAATATAGTCTAGGTATAAGAATACGTAATGTAAAAGACAAAAAGTGATGGCTACGGTAGTTTCTACTTAATTGTTCGCTAACCTCTTTCCCCTGTAGTTCACCAGGTCGGCCGGACTTACTCTGTACGTGGCACGTGGAAAAATGAAAAGAAAAAAAAACATAAAAAGTAAAAATTTTGTAACTGAATGACAACTGTATGGTAGATGGGCGGTCTTTGGGGTGCCTCGTCCGATTGCCAGTGTACTCTCTCGAACACGTATGTACGGGGGTAGTCAGTTTGAAAAAAAAGTAGCATTTAAAGACGTTGCTGAAAAATGAATGACTCTCCCATGGGTAGACGGCTCGCGCCTCTTTAGTCTCTCGCTGTTAAACTGCGCTGCGGGTTGTATGTATGATAGCACATGATATAGCTGCTTCGAAATTTTTTTTTGGGGGTATGGGGGTATTTTCGGGGGTGGGGGCGGTAAAAAAGAATAGATATGTAAAAAAATATCAAAGTAGTAGGAGAGAAAAATTCAGCTTGAATATATGTGAGAACATAGATAAACATGTAATCGCAGGTAAAATAGTAATCGGGCAGGTAAGCTTTGTGTTATAGCGAACACAAATCTCACCTTAATATCTAGCACCTCGCCGGGGCGTAACCTTCCCAACTGCAAACAATTATAGGGATCAGCGTTCTGAGTACGTAATTGGGTTAGCATTTTCGGTCACCCGGCGGTTGCGTTGCACCGACAAGTCACAAAAATCGAGTCGGAGAAGAAAAAAATCAGAGAAACGCGTTCGAGATCGCTGAACGCGGCCATGTGCCATGTACCATCGGAAGGATTCGGGGGGTCGTCGATTCCGTCGAGACGGACGATCGCGAGGTCGATCGTGGAGATCTTCGGTGAACCGTTTACCATGAACGCAGGTATCCACCGTTGCATCGTTCATGAAACGTCGTGCGGCAGAATAAACGACGGATCGTTCGAATTGTTAAAAGAGAAGGAAAAGCGTGTGCAACGGTGATACGATAGGAGGACGCGATACGAGCTGTGGACGGCCTCTTTTGAATTCGAAATGGCATATGACGCGGCTAGAAATAACACGGACGGTTCTAATCGGATCTCGATCGGATTTAATTAATCGACGGCAAAGTATTAAATGTACAGCGGCATAAGTCAGAGCCGTCCTTCGCGTCCGGCAAATGGATAGTTTTATCCGACGGTTGGCAGACCGAGTAACAAGTGTTCCTTCGCGCGTAAAACGCATTCCTACTACGAGTAAACGAACCGTGTCCGTATCTGCACGCGTGGAGTCGTCTTCGTCGTTTTCGTCGTCGGGAGCAGTGTGTTTCACATGTCGGGGAATGTTTGTCGGTTGCTTGTCTAGGCATTTGTTAACGCCGATACCTGTCCTTTCGGGACAATGTTTGCCAAAATGTGATCTATGAGCCGCGCTCGTATGCCAGAGGGAATTCGAAACCTTACGTTATACGCTAATGACTAATGTTCTGGGATCGCGGACGAGTCTTCGCGCCAGGCCTCTTCTTTTTCTTCTTTGAACCACGGGAATCTCGTTTGAATTCGCTGTTATTATTGTTGTTAACGTTAATGTAAAATAGTGGTGACGGTCAATAGAGAATTGAGTGTAAGATTCGGTTGCAGCAGTTCCGTGCCAGGTGCAATGGTGCGTTGGTGCGTTGGTGCGTTGGTGCATATCTTCACGTGAACAGTTAAACCATAGAGAGCCACGAAGGCTCGCAAGAATGATCTCGCGCGTGACGACATCGTTCGACTCGATGATTCCTGATACGACCGTGTCGCGTATATCCATGCGCGAGATCATTCGAGTTCTCATGTCTGTGAGTAAAGGTGTAATAAAAAAAAAGAAATGGAAAGTGTGAGCAGGCAGAGTCGAACTCGGTTCGACACGTTCCGGTCAAAGTTTACGCGTGTGTTTGTGTGAAAGAAATAACGTGCGAGTAAAAGAATATGTGAATAGATGAGTGCAAGTGGTAGTCGATAAGGTTGCAGACGAGGCATTCGCTTGCTTCAGTGATTTTTCTCACCTTGCGCTCGTCCACCACCTCGCCTGGACGCAGCTTTCTATGCTCCTACGAACCAAACTCTCTTTTATTGGTTATCGTCGTCATCGTCATCATCATCATCATCATTTACGTTTCCCCCTAAAACTGGCTTTGCTTTGGACGCTCTCGGCTTGGACCAGCCGATCGCGAAACGCGGAACGGATGAAGGTGAAGGATTGACGAGCGGACCACGGATTTTATACGTACACGCGTGGATCATTGTTTCAACGATCAAACAAATTTCTCATTGAATTCTCAGATATTTCGTTCTCCGTAAAAATCCGCGGTCCAAGGGTGAGCGATCTTCGAGAAGCTGGGCTGCATGGACGATTCACGAGTGGGACGTGTCTCATACCTACTAGCTTTGGACACTGACAATAAAATCAACGCACGCACCCGACGCGAACTCGTCGCGTCGGTCACGTCCGATCGAACATACAATACGTTTCTAGCTCTAGGACTATCACGTTTGGGATTCACTAAACTCGATACGAAACTTGCTAACTAAAAGAAAAAGAAAGGAAAAAAAAAAAAAAACCCAACAATCGTAGGGCTGCCACTGGTCTATATACCTACGTTCTTTGCTCTAGCTCTGTACAAGAGTCAACCTTTTCTATGGGTAAGGTACTTTGAGGAAACTCGATTTGTCATCTATAAGCGGAGAACGGCCGATGTGCTCTTTTATGATGCATCACCGATCTCGAATCGGAGGCCAGAATCGAGTCAAAAGTTAGTAATGAGTAATTGCACGAAAATAGGGCCGAATAGACCAAAATTTTATTTTTAGAAAGGTATTAAATACCGCGAGCTATTAAGAAGATTGCTTGGCAATCTGACAGGGAGACCTTGATCAACGAATTTCGCGATAAAACGAAGAATCGGACACAGATCTGGAGCACATCGTCCCGTCTCGAGGCGCAACGGTTATCCTCGAATGAGCAAAACGCATTTTGCACGAGGACACCGTGTCGCATTCGATAAAATAATCGATGTACCTCGGGCGAGTTAGGTTTATAACGTACCTCGTCACTGATGATCAGACTGGGTCTGCGACCCAATTCCTCCGGTGGTATCAAGGAACCCCGTCGACTAGCTGTCCCACTCCCGGGCGCCAACGAACCCTTTCTGCTTCCAGCCGGTGTCACGTCTTTCACAACTTCGATCTTGGGCGTCTCGGGTGCTTTGATCTCCGGCACCTTCGGCTGCGATCACCAGAAAATCCGATCAGATTCGGAATCGGCGACGACGCGAAGCGGTGCGAAGCGAGGATAAAAAGCGTTTGGAGAATTTGATTTTCTGCCGTTTGAATCGCGCGCACCCAACGGAGATCGATGGTTCAATTTGGGGACTCGTGGACGGTCGGAAAGGTTCGCGGTCGCGGCGAGATCAGGACTGATCCACAGAATCGAGATCGAAGGGATGGAGCTATGGGCGGTACGCAATAAGACCGAAAATAGCGATCGACATTTTCTCCATCCTGAATCTCGAGGTGAAAAATCGGGGATCCAAGGGGGGTGATATACGAGCGGTCATTTGCCAAGAAGGTTCCCCCTCTAATCGATCCGGATGCTGCGCAACGAGCGGACGGGAGGGAGTTCATCGAGTCATCGGTTGCCAAACGGTCATTTTATTTTGTTCGTTCGATTATTAGCAACCGCGAGCGTGTCGCGTTAATTACGCGAATCGAAACAGGATCGTGCTCGGGGGCTCCGGGGTATCAGGTGATCGCTCGATCATCGGAGAGAGAACCACTTGCCAAGGACTCTGTGTCACCGCAGCGTTTACAACCCACGACCCCAAATTTTGATTAATGGACATCGCTCGAGGTTTCCCTCTCCTTTCTCAAATTCTAAATCGTGTTTGAACTTACGAAATTTGACGAGTCTCGATCAGATCTACCGCAGGTATCTGCATACATAGCTACGTGACCGCGATTCGTCAGCTTGGCATAATTGTTCTCTCTTTCCCGGTTTTCTTTTTAATTGACACGATTACTCACCTTCGAATCGAATTTCTGCGGTTCCGCGCATGAAATCAGAATAATTTAGTAACAGGACAGAAATAGGACATCGGTAGACTGCGGATTCTTATGCAAAACGGTTGTAACTTGAAAGAGATGTAAATATACATTTTTACGTGTCGTTACGTACGTATGTATATTCCTCTCTACTCTATCCGAATCCGCACTCTAGCTGGATATCGATACCGTATCGACGGCGTTCTTACCTGGGTGACTGGCCTCTCGAGCTTGGTTTTGTCTCGAGGCTGAAATTCGCCGAAGTCGAATTCCTGGGGTTTCTCCAGTACTGGTCGTTCGTAATCCGGAATCTCTGGCAATTCGTAACCCTTATCCTTGGCCGCCTTCGCCTTAGTCTTCTTCGCCTCGGTCTTCTCCGTTTTTTCAACTTTCTGATCGACAACAATTTTGATTAACACCAATTTTCCGATTCACGTCTTTCCGACGATTAAACATTAAAGCCGAGCGATAGATACAACACTGATTACAGCGTAGAATCACGTGTCGGAAGAGAATAGAGAAAAGTAGAGAAGAAGAGATGCCTGTTATAAGTTATTGTTGATTGTTAACTTGACTCGTCCAGCTTCGAGTAGAGAGACAGTCTTTCAGAAATAAATCAGAAGGCGTACGCCGCGTTGTTATCAACATAAATGAGAGGAAGACATTGTGAAAGTAGTGAGTCGTTGAAGATGATAAAGTGAATTGTTCATCGAGGGAGAGATCGCGCGAATCGTTCAGTCGCGTTCGATAGAGACACAGAGCGATGAGAGATAGATAAGTGGTTGAAGACAGAGAGGCGAGAGGTCCGGCACGTACGACTTGAGAAGACAGTAAAGAGAAGAAATAGACGAGATGCGTATTACGTAGATTCCCTTGAACGGGAATACCTTCAACTCAAACATAGTGCCGTTCTCGGCGTTCTCCGGCTTTTTCGGCTCCTTCTGAACCGGTTTAAGCTGGATAGATTGAAAGTTCTCAGCTTTAATTTCGTATTTCGGCGGCTTGCGCAGTCCCGATTTCTCCTCCGTCTTCGGTGCCGCTGGCTGGATTCAATACGATCATCGTTTCAATTCCAATTTTCATCGGATTTCAACAAGCGTTGAAAATACCGATTCGATTCGAGATAATGATAGCGGGTGACCGCGGAACGTAAAATGATCAAATATCTATCTGCTCGTTGGTTCGAATCGTTTCGTGCCACGACCACGAAATACTTGCCTTCAATTCTATTTTCTCCATCGTCTTCGCCTCCTCCTCGATCTGTAATTAAAAGATCAACGTAATCACCTCTGATGCATCGTATAAAAAGCTTTCGGATTGACGAACGCTCACCTTCTTCACGGGCCTCAAACTCAGCTTCCTTGGTTGTTCTTCCGCCTGTAAAAAGAGGGAAGATATTTAAAAATACAGTTTTGGCACGAGCGTTAACCGGTTACGATTCGTGAGAAGCGCGTCGATCGTTACGATGATTTGTTTGCTGAAAAAAAAAATAGTTACATCTACGATTCGGTCTCTGCTGGGAGAAAAAAAAAAACGATTAGCCAGATGAAGATGAAGTAAAGATGTTGCATGGTGTACGTGTTACGTGTCAGTATGTGAGTAAGTGTCGCCGGTATGTGCACGATGATCGTGGTGCAGTGATCAGGATTAGGATCAGCATCGGAAGTAAATACAGATTGTGTCGTGTTGTGTGTACCTTTGGCGGCTCGGGTTTACCAAGTGTAGTTTTAGGTTTCGCAGGTTCTTCCTTCTAGAAAACGAGAACCGAGTGACTACATGTGTTCGATTTGTGTAAAAAAATAAGGAAGGAACGCGTTTTGAAATATACCTTAGGCTCTTCGGGTTTGCCGAGAGTGGCCTTAGGTTTGGGAGCTGGTTCTTCCTTCTAGAAAACGAGAACCGTGTGACTACGTGTGTTCGATTTGTGTCAAAAAATAAGGAAGGAACGCGTTTTGAAATATACCTTAGGCTCTTCGGGTTTGCCGAGAGTGGCCTTAGGTTTGGGAGCTGGTTCTTCCTTCTAGAAAACGAGAACCGTGTGACTACGTGTGTTCGATTTGTGTCAAAAAATAAGGAAGGAACGCGTTTTGAAATATACCTTAGGCTCTTCGGGTTTGCCGAGAGTGGCCTTAGGTTTGGGAGCTGGTTCTTCCTTCTAGAAAACGAGAACCGTGTGACTACGTGTGTTCGATTTGTGTCAAAAAATAAGGAAGGAACGCGTTTTGAAATATACCTTAGGCTCTTCGGGTTTGCCGAGAGTGGCCTTAGGTTTGGGAGCTGGTTCTTCCTTCTAGAAAACGAGAACCGTGTGACTACGTGTGTTCGATTTGTGTCAAAAAATAAGGAAGGAACGCGTTTTGAAATATACCTTAGGCTCTTCGGGTTTGCCGAGAGTGGCCTTAGGTTTGGGAGCTGGTTCCTCTTTCTAAAAACGTAATCGTGATCGCGTTACAAAAAATGGTTGCGTGTAAAAATAAATGATGTGTACCTTGGCCTCCTCGGGTTTACCAAGCGCCGCGGCCTTTGGTTTCGCGACAGGTTCATCCTTCTAAAAAATCAAGTGTGTCGTAAGGGTGCCGTTCTTCGTGCGAAAGAACTGGTGTAAAACAGTAATGAAAAGTGAACGTGTGTCGTGTGTACCTTCGCCTCGGGTTTGTCGACAGGAGCCTTGGGTTTCGCGACGGGTTCCTCTTTCTAAAAGTCAATAGGTATCCCGTTTATCGGATTTGCAGAATCAGATCATGCGGATGACAACGAAAGTATTGCAGGTACGTATGTATGTATAGGTAAATGTATGGAGAAGTGTATTTGTTCGTGTGTACCTTGATCTCCTCGGTCTTGTTAGGAACGGTCTCTGGTTTGGAGGGTTCTGTCTTCTACAATGCAATTGTAATACGGTGTAAATTGTTTGTGTGTGTATATCGATAATTCGCGTATGTCGCGTATTATGTACCTTAGGTTCTTCTTCGGGTTTGGATTTGGGTTTGGGTTTAGGTTCCTCCTAAAATGGACAGGCGTGTATTTAGTGTATTCTGTGTGTCGCGCGTGTACTACGCGCGGTACATGAATGTACATGTGTAATGGCAAACATGGATATAAAATACGAAAGTTCATTGAGTACCTTCTTCTCTTCCTTTCCGACGGTTTTTACTTTAGCGGCGACTTCCTCCTTCTAAAAAAGCATAGGAATCAGATTTATTCGTCGCACGCTGGTCGCGTGAACGTTCTTTTGTTCTTTACAAGCAACAATTAAAAGACATGCAAGTGGTACACGTATACAGGTACCTTCGTTTCACCGTGTCCGTCCGTATCGTTCGAAGCTAAAGCAGGCTCTCCGCCCTGAATAATATACGAATGAACAGAGTGAACAATAAAAAATAAAGAGAACGAATGGTTCGATATTTCGTCGAATTATTTCCCTGTACCTTAGACCCTTCGGTCGATTTCGTCGATGATCTACGTCGCGTGATCTTCTACAAAAAATATGAAAAAAAAATTGTTCAATTCCTAGCATTGTGTGTCGTTCGAACGGACGTGCCGCGTGTAAAAAAAATGATTGTACCTTGCCCGCCTCGTCTGTGTCAAGCTTACGAGATTTCGGTTTTCCTTCCTTTTTCTAAAACGATATCGAAACATTGCTATGTGTTAACGTGCTGTTAAGTGTATCGTGTATTTACGCTGCGAACGTCGTGTACCTTGTCTGCGTCAATTTTTTTCTTTTTCAATTTTGGTTTAGACTCCTTCTCTACAGTGTCAGCCGATTCGAGCGGTGGTCTCGAGTTTGGTTCGTTCAGATTCGATTCCCAAGTGTTCTAAAACGTGTTCGTTCGTTCGATGATAAATAGAAAGAGAGAGACGTGTTGGAATCGAAAAAAAAAAATAGCAATCGCGACGACCGCGAGATACCTGTTTCCAGATCAATTTTATCTCCGGCTCTTGGGGTCTATCCGCCCAGATGTCCTACAAATTATCGCGATCGTTCTTTATCTATTCTTTTTACTTTATATTCGTCATTGTTAAACAAAAAATAATCTACCTCTATCTCATCAACCGGTTCTCGCAAATCCGAGATTAGTTCAGATCCCAATTTATCCTACAACGTAAAAATCGTGTAGATGGTGAAATTATTTTACGCGTATTACTAAAAAATGATTGAACGAACGAGTGTTACTTGGCCATTTTTAATTGATTTTCCCTCGAGTATGTTAGGCAACCGTTCGATGGGAACCTAAAAGCACTCGTGTCAAAGCTTTGTCCCAATTACGATACTAATTGAGTGAGAATTTAGTTTAGTGTTTCGTATACCTTCGTGTCTTGCGTGGGACTAAGCTTCAGGGATTCTTTATCTACCTAAAATATTAAAAAAAAAAATGTTTTTTTGTATGATTCTTAATTGCCAATGCCCGATTCAACGCTGTGTAACGAGAGGCTGCGCGTGTTTCACGCGGACGTATAATTTCCCAGTGGTATAGATACGCGTTCGACGCGATGCTGCGCGCTGCGAGTAGTATGAACCGGCTATGGTCAGACGTGTCTCCTTCATGGGTTGACTACTTACTGACTTGACTACGTCTACCGTCTACGCGTTTGAAACATCGATCGAGTCTCGTCAAGTACGGTCCGTTCAAAGCACATACAGAACACGACGAAACATTTGACATTTAGACACGTTAGACAAAAATTAATACACGTCTTGTTGCGTCGTTCTCAACAAGATCAGACGTTGCACATGGTACTTACGAGTTTTGCTCGCAATACACCTTTGGTTAAGGATGTATACGCTATATACTTAAACAATGCTAGCATGTTGAATTCGTTATTATAGATTCCTATTACTATTAAAAAGCTACCTGCAAAATTTTAAATCAATTCATGGGTTTTTTGAAAAATTATAGTGACTTAATGCACTCTTATGGTAATCAGCAGTAACCCAAAGAAAACTTTCTGGTATTTGGTGTGTATGCGCGAAGTTGGAAGAAACAACTGACTTGAG